AACCAAACAATGCATGGATGTGTCTTTTAACTTAAATAGCAGCTGGATGTTAAGAATAGACCTACTGGTGCAGCTTTTCTAGCCTCAAATTACTTTTGCACACCAAACTGCTGTTAAAGGTACAGTGACAATCAGATGCAAAACACATCCCTAGACAAATCCAAGGACAGGCTTTCACAGTGCATGCCTAAAATAGCACTCAGAAAGAAGGATTGTCTTTATAGGATTAACTGAGAGAATCTAAAGATCCCTAAAATATGTTCTCTGGTCACTAAGATTTCAGGCATCACGGTAATAGCTAGAAAAAGGAAGAAGCAACTGGAGAAAAATGATAGGAAAATAAGAGGGGACTAGGATTTTGGGAAAGTCACACAGAGGAGTCAGCTGCCAATCGGACAGAAGTGCTGCTTACCCATATGTATAGCCTGGGGGCAGTGGATAAGGAATATGGTATCGGGGCATCAGGAAAAAGGTGCGAACTAAGTGCCAGGCACTGCAGGCAGACATGAAGAAGAACATGGCTCCCAGGGAGAGGCCTTGCTCATACAGGAGCTGAGGACAAACAACGTATTCCAAGATAAGCTGGCTGTATTTTAACGCTCCTACCGTGTGCACCAATCCCCGAGTTCCTGCAGAAATGTAGCAAGGAAGATGGAAAGGCTTCAGTTCCCCCTTTCCATTTGCTCTATCCTGATCATTAACAGGTCCTTCTCAGAAGATGAGGGCAGCTTCTGAAATGGTTGGGCAATTTTTTTGGTACCACCACTGAACATGTTTAAAGGGCCCATTGCCAGAGTGAGAGGGACAAGGATGCAAATAGGACAACGCTAGGTCGTTGATGTGAGCGATGATGAGATTTCATGTGTTTTCCTGGGTAGTTTGAGAAAGTTTTTTTTTTTTTACATGCTTCCTAATTCAAAAAGGGAGAAAATGGCTCTGGGCCCAAGAAAAAAAAAGCAATTTCTTTAAGGAGTTAGGTGCGGTGTATCCCCACTTCCCCATTGGCATCCAATTTTGGTTTAAGATCTAAAGCAGTGGTTCTCAACCTTTTTAATGCCACGACCCCAACCGGTTGTAAGTCGAGGACTAAACCGGTCGTAAGTCGAGGACTAAACCGGTCGTAAGTCGAGGACTAAACCGGTTGTAAGTCGAGGACTAAACCGGTCATAAGTCGAGGACTTTCCCTGCCAGGGAGTGCCGCGCATGCGTGGTTCCGCCCCCTGCGCCGGCCGAGGCGTAGCTGGCAAGCGGCAGAGACGGAGCAGGCCGACCACCAGCTGGCCCAGCTCAAGGGAGGTACGGCACCCGCTGGAAAAGGGGGGAAAAAATGGCGGACAGCCTTGCTTGGCGACCCCCGTGAAATGGTCGATCGACCCCAAATGGGGTCGCGACCCATAGGTTGAGAACCGCTGATCTAAAGTGCAGTGCATACCTACACTAAATCCTAGGCCTGGGTTTATAAAACTAAAGTTCACACAACATGTTATATCCAAACAAATACACAAATGGTCTGCTTTCCACAGCAGGCTAAGGTAGTGTCTGGTGATTACAATAAACTGAATCCTAAACTTTATTTTAGCCTCTTCTAGATGCTGGGTGAACCCAGCCAATTAATAGTGCCAGCAGGGTGGGGATGATGGGGGATATAGTCAATGCAACATGTCACACAGCACAGTTACATCGGGTCTCTCAGCCTTAGCTATTCATTCTGCTGGGAATTGCCCAGAAACTCCAGTTCCTATTCTCCTCTACAAGCAAAACTCAGTCACAAAAGTGCTTTAGAAAGCTGAGTCATAAATTACAAGAAACAACAGGACAAAGAATCCTCTCTCTCCCTTCAAGTGCAACTTCCTGCTGAAATCAGTCTCACTCTGCTTTCAACAGCAAACCTCTCCCGGTCCCTCCTGAGATCTACACGGAGAACAAGGACCAGATTTTGTATGACAGGCAACTGTCTCCCTCTTTTCCATCCTCCGTGTCTGAAATGCAAAGCACTCTCCCATAATAAATTAAACGGAAGGAAAGCCACCTTACGCTTTTCTTCCTGCTGTCTGCCCACTCAACCCAAAAGGAAAATAAACATGTATGTGTATATATATATATATATATATCAGTGTAAGTAATAGCAGGGGATATCCTTTCTTGGAGGTTTAGCGCCTGCTATTACTTACACTGATACGGATCATGTGGGAAGGACAACTCCCAATAAGAACTCGGTGCTTGGAGTACATTCTAGTATAACCGGCCCAGTGACGAGATCGAAGAGTCGTGCACATGCCCTAATTAAACCTATAAAGGGACTTTCCCATTGACCAGCATTCTAAGCCCTGAAGATGTCAGCGGATGCCGACGAAAGCTAGGCACTTTTATTGATTTCTATGTATTTTAAAGGTTTTTAATATTCTTAAGAACTTTTATCTCTAAATTATTATTATTAAATTATTTATTCCCTGGTGCTCACGTCTATTGACTGAC